CAATGTTACCGCCTGGCGCTTTGTGTCGCAAGCACTTCAACTCTCATCAAGTAATTTCTTAATCAACAACAACAACACGCCATGCCCCGCATTTGCAATCCAATGAGAGAAGGCCGCCGATCAGTGGCGTTAAGATATCATTTATTTTCTTTGCTTTTTCTCTCCTGGCTGACTCGGTGTGTATCGGTGGGTCGCTCTTGTCAACGATTGTCTATGCAGCCTCGAGGCAGCCTACTTAATCTTCGTAGCATGAGCACTCAATATCTTTCTTGAATTAAAAGTCAATGTACAGGTACTTCCATACAAATTGTCGCATAAGGTCTAGGCTGCTCAAGCGGGGCACTAAATTATGTTTACGAGACACCAAATTTTACAAACAGTTGTCGTGTCATGGTTTCACAGCTGAGTTCGCCTGAGTCATAGCTGATGACAACTGTTAGTAGAGAAGACACGCGGATTTAACCTGAGGTTAACTTTTATCCTTTGTATTGATATGCGAAGCAATGAGCAGGAAATTCGATGTCAATAAGCAAGAACAAGCTGTACGTTTACGCCTAACAAGCTACGCATTTCATGATCCTTCTCCTCCCTCACATGCCTCCTGTCCAACGGAATATCGTCTAGGCCAGATGTTGTGCAAATCAGTGTTGTCGTTTCCCAGGTAGAAAGTCGACCCGCTCAAAGTTCGGCCGCCTAAGAGAGCCGGATGGTTTACAACGAGGTTCGGTCAATGGTGGAATTGCGGTCTGCGCCCGTAGTAACTGAACATAACCGCTTGTTGTCGTCATTTCAAGTCTCGATTCTCCCGGATCTGGGGATTGTAAAGGGATGTCATAATGTTCCAGATCAACGATAATGCTGTTCATATCATCATGCTGCTCTTGTGGGAGAAGGGCTTGGGAGGTTGAGGGAGATGTGTCGTCGATATCTTCAACCCCTAGCCACTTGATCAAGTCAAGTTCTTCAAGACTTCGACCTCGGACGCCAACATAGACACAATTTGTTCCGCGGTCGAACTGGAGAGGTAAAACAGTTGTGTCCTTACATTGGACTCTTGTAGACTTGAAGGATTTTCGTGATGCTTGAATGGAGAGAAACATTGAGTCCCCAGTACCAGTAAGGGTCAGCTTGAAATACCAAATCCCACGCATCGGCTTCCCCAGGTGAAGGATATCATAGCATCTGTCATGTTGCAGCACATCATTCACACCTTTAGGGTCCGTCGCAGACCAGAATGGATCGCAGACGATCTTGAGTTCGTCTTGGCCAGTTACTTTGACTCCAGGAGATTTCTGGCGCTTCTGTCCAGAGTCAGTCAGCAGATACCAGAATATACAGCTGGTCAACAAACCGCGTCCATTAGAAACTCTGCAGAATCATCCCACAAGTGACCCGGATTGCTATTACCAACCGGAGCGTGCTGTCTCATCTGCAGTCCGAAGGCTGCGCCTCCATGAAAAAAATCTGTAACCGTGCGGCAGTTACCAACTGCGTAAGCCACGCCTTTCGCTATCTTTGCGGTTCTATTATTGTTAGTCGGCCTGGCCTCGCGTTTTGCGGGTGGGCAAGCTCACTCGTAGCAAATCTCCAGCTCGTCTGTGAAGACGGGCTCTGGCAAAGATGCATCAGCACACAGTTGACGAAGCCTCGACTGAAGGGCATGGTTTCTTGATGTTCCTCCAGATATAACGACTCTCCTTGATTGACCTTTCATCTCCGAGAGCCGTGCGATTCGCTCAGCGGCTACTTCTAACGGTGCTCGAAGAGCATCCTCGAAACACTTGTCAATGTCCTCTGGCTCCAGTATCATCTTCCAGGGATCTCCATCGTTGTTGATCCAAAGAGTAATTGTTTTGCTGTTGCCAGGACCCAATGTAGTCTTCTCACGATTGAATTTGTCGAGTAAGGATTGTCTCTGCTTTGCCGAGAAATGAGCGTTGTCGAAGCGTTTGAGGTAATTGTCGCAGACGAGGCCGATATTGAACTCCCATTGTTCACTGCCACCTCCGGCACCTGTGGCGAGAAGGTTAGATTGTATAATCACAGAATAGCCCTCCTTCAAATCTTACCAAACGAAACTCCTGCTCGAAAAAAATTAGGTGTTCCATCACGTCCATATACGACTTTAAACATGCAACCGTTCTATTGGTATAGAGAGTTAGTATTATATCGTTAGTCAAGGTCAAGGAACACTTACCATGTTGTGGCCTCCAAAGTCAAGAAACAGAAGCACATCATGAGCACCGGTATCTTGGAGTTCGTCTTGATGATTCCTGAAAAGGTAATGTGCCAGTGCTTCTGTTTCCGTATGGAAGTAGATCTCGGATCGTGGATGGCTGAATATATCCGAGACGAGTTCTTCGTAGATGGTTTCAAAGTCAAGATTCCATTGAGCTGGGATGGATAGTCCGATAGTAGTGATCTTCAATCTCTTCGCCTTACAGATTTGGCTGACACGAACTTGGATAGTTGACAGAAGGTTTGCCAGGCCATGGGAGAGTCGTTCTCTGAAATCTACATCAGTCTTTCTATCCAGCAATGGCTTCACCAAGGGATATTGCTCGACAAGCTCATCTGAGGCATCTGCGAGCACGTAGAACCCAAACTTGAGCGAAGTAGAGCGACGTTCCGGATCGGGGATGTCGCCTATGTAGACTTCTCCGTCGTCAAAAGGATAGCCTATGGACGAGAAGTCGCTCTTTTCGTATCTGCTGTATTTCAAGTTACTCCTGCTTCTGTTCTCGACATAGAATTCGGCATTCTTCGAAGGACACCAAATGAAGGCTCTCAAACTAGTGCTCCCGAGATCGATACCGAGTACCCTGCAAAATTATTACGTTAAATATTTGTCTTGACGCTTTCCAAAAGCCGCATCAAGGTGTTCAAGGGTATACTTACGCGTCTGCTACCATCTCGATAATTTATGGCTAACGAACCAACGAAAAGGATTTCGCCAAAGTGTCGTACTATGAATCAAATATGATCAATAATTAGGCTAACGCAGTCTGTAGCACGATTTCAAGAAAATATGGTGAAGTTTGGCTTTGGGAGTAGAAGGATTGTTTTCAAAGGGGAGTGTTGGAAGGGGCCCATGTCTGCCTGGATGCGAGGCAAACGAGACGTGTACAAGATACGCTGGGGGAACTCACAACTGCGGAAGGAGCCTAGCAACGCACGCAGCGGCACGCTCCTTCCCTTTCAAAGCACCCTCTCAACGCAAACAACAGAGCATCGCAAAATGCAAGATTTTGGTACGCGAGATTGATATCTCTCAAAAAATACTTTATAGGTACATGTACATATACCTGTGTTACTCCAGGGCTGCGTGGGGGGTATTGACTGGTGGGCCTCGCCCCATGCACGCGCAGTTGGTGGCGCTCGTTCAGCCAAGCATCATTGTTACTATTATTGATATGCTACCACCTGGCCAGGGCCTCGTGTTTTCTAAGCAGAAATTTGCGTGCAAATGTACTCAAGTAAGAAGTTTTCCCTCCCTACCCTAGGGGTGGACTATCAAGAGTGGCCACTTCTTGTTTGTTGGCAGTTTGGGGTGCGCAAACGACCAGGTATCTATACTGTGGCTCAGAAATGCATTCCCCTCTCTAGAACTTCCAGACTGTAGGAGCCAAGGTGCGTTCACCAATCAAGCATCGTCATCTCTGTCTTGAGAGTCTGAGGGTGAACCTGCCGATTGCATCCCTCCGGCCTAGACCTGGTTTTTCTCGCCGTGACCCCCGGGCATTTCAACTTGGAGAGATGTTTAGGGGGGTGGTGACAACTATCTTCGGCTTGGTCTCTCTATGCCTGATATTCCAACCCCAACCATACTGTGTCTGATATGCTGACATCTCCCCTACAGCTTCAGATATGGCGCGAAAACCGAAGAAGTCAAGCTCGCTGGTGCAGGATCTGGAAGATCAAGCATTCAACGCCGGGAAGGCAAAGCTTGACGACCTTCTTAAACAGTTAGTTGACGATGAATCGGACATCAAGGAGCGGCTGTATCAGTTAATGGAGGATCACAAAGCCCTCTGCCAGGAAAAGGCAGAGCAACGCTCACGAATCATTCTGGAGACCTTGGCCACGAATACCAAAGCTGGGCGTTTTCTCGAGAATGATGAGAACTATCGCATTCTCATTCCCAAGAAAACGGTATGGGTTCACAAAGGGGCAGTCATCCAATTTGTACCCTCTGAAGACAAGCCCGCGGCGGATCATTTTGACGCTCTAAGCTTGCCTACCACTGATGATAAAAAGGTATGCTATCTTATTTATTGATAGGCCCAAACTTATGTCAACATGCAGCGCACTATGCCTATGGCCCTTATTCCTCCCGACTCCGAATCAGGAAAGAATACCGACCTAAATGACTACCCTTCTCCTCCCATCTTCGAGCAAGATCGTCCAGAATATCACCGGAAACCTAGCTCCCGTCATTCATCAACAAGGTCCTCTGCGTTTAATCTGAGGCCGAAACAACGCGTCCAGGAATACTTCTCCAACCGCGACTGGGCTATCCAGCGCCCCATCCCGATGGGACAAACGGACAACTACTGGATATTTGACTACCCATTCATGGAGGGGCGATTTCTCTTCATCCTGAGGTGCCCGGCTACGAAATGTCAACACCCTGTCTTCTCTCTGCACCCACTGAAGCAGGATCGCGCTGTGAAGCACCTCAAAGCGTGCGGTCAACGATTTGACGACGAAGAGGACATAGTCAAGAGGTACGCCCGGCAAGGTCAGTCTCCCTCGGCACAATATCCCACGCGATCTTCACTAACCAGGTCAAGCAGTAATCTCGGGCCGCAAAGGTCGGGTAGTGACTCAAACCTGGGTACGAAAACACAATCTCAAACTATTAGGAGCAAATGAGAAACATCTGGAGGGGGAGAGCCTTTGATTGGCTGGGCGCGAACACAAGCTACATTAAAAAAGCCGGAAGTCTCAAGTAGTACAAATCTCATGTCATTAACACTCGAGGTAGCAATATTCTCTATCTATTGCTCCCACCAGTTCTCGCCAGTAGATGAAGAGGGTGGAGGGCCTGGTGGTGGTTCATACGCAGGGGGCGCATCCTTTGGCGGCACGTCCTTAGGTGGTACTGCTGGTGGTGGAGGCCCTTCACCGTCGGCGCCACCAGTCTGTGCAGGCCCTGTTATCCGCTCAAACGCGGCCTGCCTCGCCTTCTGTAAGTTCACGCGTGACTCTTCCAGCGCTGCCGCCCTTCTGTCCAGCTCCCAAGACAGATCCATGTGCCTGCTCCTAGCCGAAGCCAATTGACGCGCCAGATTGTCGGCGCACCGCTGGACCTCCAGATTTGACGCCTTGATCTTGTCGTGAAACGCCATGTCCGTGAAGATGTTGTCGAAGAAGACGTCCGTCATCAAGCTGCCCTGCGCAATCTGTACGGGGGGCAGTGGCTGGACGTGCTCGGACATGCGCTGCGCCTGCATCACCAGCATCCGCGCTTCCTGAACCTGCGTCTCTGCCTGGTGCAGCGCATTCCGTTCCATCATGTCGGTGAGCGTACCGCCGCCGAACATGTCTCTGCGCGAGTATCGCAGCGCATCGTCCATTGACATTAATGCTCCGTTGATACGTTGCTGCGCATAACCGAGAGTCTTCACAGCCTGGCCTTGGCCCTCGGCTCGTGTGCGGGCATCGTGGTATGCCTGCAGCGCAGCATTCGACTCGCGCTCCTTCTGATCCTCCTCTGGGAATCCAGGCGTCGGCCCTTGAAAGATAGAGTCGTAAAGGCTGTCCAGCTCGCTTTGCGCAGCGCTGTGCCGCGAGACAGCCATCTCCAGCTGTGTGCGCACCGTCTTGGCGTCCTGCAGCATCGTCTCGACGTTCTTCTTCATCTCGGTCTCGCGATGCTCCTCCTGCAGGACGTCAAAGTACTCGCGCTCCTCCTTCTCCGCGCGCGCGGCGAACTTCTCGCTCTTGCCGCCGACCTTGTACGCGAACCGCTTCATAACGGAATCGCGGTAGGACTCGTGCTCCTTGAGCTCCTTCTTGCGCTTCTTGTCGATCTCGGCCAGGCGCTTCGCGGCGGCGTTGACCTGCGATTCCAGGTCGGCGATGTACCGCCGCTGCTGCTCCAGATCAGGCAGGGCATGGTCAGTCTCGGAGAGGACACTTAGAAGCTCCTTGTTGCGCGCCGCGGCGGCTTGTATTCTACTTTCGATTGATGTCATCGTTGAGGATATTAGATAAGGTTACTTAGGTGGATGAGCGCAGTCAGTGGCGTCCAAAGGGCAGCGTCAAGGTCTCAATTGCCGACGGGGCCCTTTGAAGACCAAGTTTCATGCGATCAAGTCTTTTCAGCGCTTTAGGTGGTTGTGGTCAAGATATTATATTTTTTTTATGAGGTTCGTCATATCTCGGCGAAGGCTTGGCCGAGTCGCCGTTGTCCTAAAATACAGACAGCTGACGCTGCTGCGGTTCGTGTTAGGCTGCCTCGAAGCCAACGGCGCAGTGGACCGATCACCAACAGCGCCACAACGTTCCGCCACTCTCGCTGTTTGGTGCAACTGGCGCCTACAGCCAGCCCCACCAACGGCCGCTGTGTGTCCTGCTGCGCCTCGCATCTGATCTGACTAACATCCTCAGAACGTCTTGGCTTGAGACGGCCACATCCGCCTGGTAGGGACGCTTCGTGAATGTTGTGCTTAGTCAAAGTCTGCAGAACAACAGATGTAGCCATGAAATCATGTCAATGTCGCAAAACTCTGTTGTCAATTATCGAGGCCTATTAGCAAAACCACCATGCTGATGGCGGTGATTCATGTGCTCTACCTATCTTACCTAGGTAGTCTTTCATGATTGGGGTAGAATGCCATCCAGCCATTTAGCAATGTAACAAGCAATGCAGCATCCAACTCAATATGCTCATCTTCTCTTATTCCGCTGTTCTCATGAGCATCCCAGCTATGACCTCCGAGCCCTGCGTAGCCATTCTCGCTGAAGGCGACTGTAGCCGCCATCTACCTGTAATGAGTCTCGGCATTCAGCCCTCCTTTGTTTACCTCTTCTACTCCGATTTCACACGAGAAGCTGAAGTTGAGTGGGACATGACACCGGAGCTCACTTGTCCCGACGTGTCCTTCACAAGGATCACCTCATCATTGTCCTGCTCTTGCTTCGGGCAGACGCCAGCCTGGCCGTTGAAGGCGACATTGTCATCCTCCTGCTTCGCAAGCTCTACGCTGACATTGCAGACAACTTCTGGCTTGATCAACATTGTTTGGAGGTCGTACTTGTCTCCATCTGATGTCCCTCGTTTCTCTAAAGCCGGAGAGATGACCAGATCGATGCCTCGCGGGATCGAGGAGCTAGTCCTTGTAGTGAGGCCAAACAGATTTCGGAGCTGCATGCGGCTTGGGTTGAAATTGATCGAGTCTTTGCGGTCAATGTTGTCGAATGTGAAAATGAATTCAGCCTTGGATTTGCGGAGCATCATGTTGAGATCAGTTGCATCTGCGAGAATCTCTCGAAGATCGTGTTCAGCTGCAAGACGGTCTGCATCAGGCTGGAAACGCAAGATACTATCTGCCATCTTCTTTGCCCCCATCTTCAAATCTTTCTTGCTGACAGGGCTTAATTTCTCAAGAAGTTGAGCGTAACGGGATCTCCAATCATGGTAGTCGTTCAATGCTGATGAATCAGCATCTATGACCTCTATATTTCAGTTAGTGGTGTCCATACTAATCTCCCGGGCTCAAAATACCCCGGATATTCCGGCAACTCTGCGAGTAGTCTCTGCCCAACTTGCCAGCCCAGCCCTCAGCCGTAACACCGAAAACGAGTTTGTCAAGACACGACCAAATGCCCGCTTCAAAAAGTAATGGGGCCAGAAGGACGTTGGTCAGAAACATGGCTGGCTCCGGGCACAGAGGTCTATAAGATTGTATAGCATCGTCGGACAGATCGCTAATGGGGTATGCGAAGAGATGATAGTCCACGAATTGGTGGATCTTGAAAGTCAGCTCCTTCCATCCATCTAGAATCACATTGTCTGGGACCTTGAATGTATTGTGCGACGATAGGTCTCGGGCCTCTCGCATCTCTCGAGTGAACTCAACCCGAGCGGCGGCAAACTCTTGGTCCTTGCGTACCAACTCGGCCTTTTGCGCCTTGTCACGCTGCTCCAGCTCCTGGATCCACGACTCGTATGCCGCCTGTGTCGTCGAGCAACGTCCATGGTTGACTAACCAACCCGTCCAGCCATTTCCTGCGCGTACTGAATTCAACTCTTTCTGAAGTTTTGCGTTATCATCTTTCAAGATATGAATCTTCACCTGGCTCTCTTCGTTCACCAGTTGCAAAGCATTGTTGAACTTGCTTTTATCCGCAATAATCCTATTCTTCTCTGCGATGTCAGTGTCTCTTTTTCTGATGACTCGGCCCATGCTTGCTATCCGCTTGTCCATCTCCCCGACTTGTCTGTGCTTTTTAGAGCAGGCAGACCGGAGGTGGCTTATGTGCTCGTTCATTCTTAAATAATGCTCCTCTCTGATAGTCACTGTCTCACTCTTTGGAAGAATGGCGGTTCCATCGGTCAGTCTCACACGCTTCACTTCGAAGTAGTTATTGTCATTGTCTCCACTGTGGTCTTGCCGCTTTCGGGGAGGGCCGCTCATTTTGTTTTGAGTAGTGGCCGGTGCTTGACGTAAATTGTATCGAATGTCTGGTCGGGAAGCTTGGGAGTTGCCTGTGTTGTTGATGCTAGCGGACTGGTGATCGTCAGAAAGGTGATCTGGAGAATAGGCGCTAGTGGATGCTCTCGTGCGATCGGGGACGCCGATATTTTGGTGGGATCTCGGATGAGACTGACTGTCAGTCTGATCCGGCATTTTGTCAGGCACAAAATTGTTCATCAGGGGTGCCAGGATGTGGCGGATGTGGCTGTTGATGATTGCTTTGGTTGGTAGGCGTGGATGAAGTTCGGGCTTGATGAGATATGGGAAAGTGAGAGATGGATGAAAGCTTGCAGGCAAGCACCTAAGTACTTTGGCCCCAAGATTCGAGAAGATGTTACTTGCTTCTGTGTTGTGAGGCGAGTGCAGCGGGTTTAGGAGAAGGGAAAGTGTGAGAGTTGTTAAAGAAGGAAAAATTGTTGCCTGTGAAGATTGGACTCAGAGGTGTACCCGTTGACCTAGGGGTCGAGAAAACGCGAAGCAGGCAGTACTGAAGTTGAAAGGTGACTGATTGAAATCTCAGACAAAGCACAATGTAAATAGTTTCTTTGCGTAAGGGCCTGGATAAAGGGTTTTGTTTTTGTTTCTCGCTATTCCAGGTGTTTGATTTACGCCAAGATAAACGTGATCGGTCGAGGTAACATGTAAGTGGCACCTCTCGACATGCTTTAATCCGCCGCCTCCTTCCAGTTTGCAAACGCCATGTAGGCTGCGTCAAACCTGTGACCCGGGCAGAAGCCAAATACAAGCCCCGGTGCCTTATCGATTCTCTTGAATTCCATATGCTTTCACGCGAACAAGCGGATGCCTCGTTTCATTATGCCATAGACAGCATCCGCGTCGCTGCCAGCCTGACAGTCATCAGCCAGGCGATAGCAGTCCTGCCGAAGCTCGTTCAAGCTTTGCAGTCGCTTGTCAAGGTCATTCATTTATTACTTTCCGTCCTGGTTATCACAATGATCAATTTCGTTTACTACATCAATAAACGTGCGCCTTCCGTACCATCAGATCTCACAAGTTTCAAGTCTAACAATTTGTGTAGACTTTCACGGTCAGACCATTCCACAAAAGGGCAGATCCAGCCACAGCTTGAGAACACCATTATTGACGACACAGTCCAGACATCTTCAGAATTAGAGTGTTTTTCGATAGCAGAATAACTAGAGGATATACTCACCTAGTCACCATATCAATAGCTTCTAGTATCCTCGTTCAGAGTTCTATAGACAATCGCTTGATAACTAAAGCTTATCATGATATTGAGAAGGGAGTATGGTAGAGAGGATAACTGGATCAGATTATGATAGATGTTGTCGAAGAGTTTCTCTTGTTAGACACTAGTAATCTGAAATTGAGAGACAAAATCACATTTGTCGACGAGGCATTCGAAGACAAGAACGGAAATGTTCTAAAGTTTACTCGAGTCATCATCCCGGACAACAAGTCGACCACACAGTCACACCGAGTGTCACAATCTGTAAGAGCCAGTTGGTATTCCTAGCTAAAAGTGCAGAGCATCAATGGGTCCAATGCAATGAGTAAGTAATCAGTGCTGCATGCAGATTCAGTCCACCATCTGCGGGTAACGCTCGCTCTGCCCAAGCTGAACTATTTCATTCCCTGAGAGCAAAATCGCTTGGGAGCAACTTCCAAGAGCCAACTTCCACCCCCATACGAGCCACACTCAAAGGTTATTCTCCAGCAGATACGTGTTCGAGATGACCTTGAACCACCGCCCATCCTGCACACACTTGAACACCAGGCCCTCGCCGTCGCGCCGCGCCGCCCGCTGCAGCAGGTCGTCCTGCGAGCTCGCAATGTCGCGGATCCTGACGTACCCCAGCACGGGCACGTGCTTGAGCCCCAGCTCCCCGGCGCGGCGCTCCGTCTCGCGCGGGTGCAGGTACGCCTGGCGGTCGATGTCCCAGATGGCGAAGACGAAGAACTCCCGGGCGCCCGGCGGCAGGCCCTCGCGGTTGCGGTGGATGCCGTCGCCGCACAGCTCGCCCTGGACGGCGACGCTGCGGCCCAGGCGCGCCAGCTTGGCGGGCAGGCCGGCGGCGCGGGCGGCCGCCCAGTACATGGAGTCGCCGAGCTCGTTGAGGTCGTGGTGGTGCGAGCAGACGCCGAAGCGGCCGTTGGGCCAGATCATGTGCGCGCCCACGCAGTCCGGGTGCATGCGGTGCAGCGAGCGGTAGGCGGCCTCGTTGCCGTTGTTGACGAAGTAGACGGTCATCGAGGTGCCGTCCATCTTGACGCTCTCCTGGTACACGCGGTGCTTGTACTTGGCCTTGGTGAAGAGGTTGGGGCACTTCTGCACGCGCTCGTGGTTCGTCTTGTGGATGAGCGTGGGGAAGTGGCCGAGCTGGCTGACCGTCTTCTCCTCGGGCTCTACCCACTTGGTGATCTTTAGAAGCTCGGAAAAGTCCATGCCCTCGTGGAACATGAGAATGAGCTTCTTGATGACCTCCTTGGACTTGAGCCAAGAAAGGCCATCTCGAAGGATCTGAATAGTGTCGTTCACCTCCGGGAAGTCTGCGAGTGGAAGCAGAATCCCCTGAGAGAGGACCTTGTTTTTGCCGCTGCCAAAGACTCGTGTCTGCACACGATATCCTGGTATCTCATTGTAGATCTGGAGAGCACCCAAAGACTTGAAGCGCTTGTCGGCAGCAGGAAGGAATGCATCAATCTCAATGAAAAGAGCCAGGTCGCCCTTATTGAACATTCTAGGGTCAACAGCAACCTTCCAGCCATCAACAGTGGCGACAACCTTCTCTGAGGAGCTGCAGATATGGCTGATGCCGGAGATTTCGCGAATATAAGCCAGTTTACGACGCGGTGGCGCTGGTGTCTCAGGGACACGACTCTCCTCAATTAGACGAAGCTTCTCCTTTAGAAGATCATCGCTCATTGGAGGCTCGCCATCCATTGTAGTGGATTGAGTAGGCTCAAAGCCTGACTGACTTTCTTATGTAGATTAGCACAAGATCAGGACTTAGCGTCTTGAGGTCAGTGAAAGCAAGAGGGCCGGGGGCTGGGGGTTTGGAATGAAGGAAGGCACGATTGAAACCAGATGGACTTCAAAAAATGAGCAAACAGAACTTACTGCTGTCGTAGGAGGTTATCACAAAGTCTCAGTGTTGTCACTGAGGAAGGGTTGAAAAACCTGCAAATGATGCGAATCCGTGAATGAGCGAACAGATTATGTCTGTCGGCTGTGTGAATCGGGAAGGGTTGAGCGACTGCTATCGCAAGCTGACGGTTTAAGGTAGCAGGCACAGTTTTCCGGGGGCAAGACAAGGAGAAGCCGCGGCAGAGAAAAAGCTGTGTCGTGGGTTTGGTTCTCCCGCAAGCAAAGCTCCATCCAGACGCTGTCTCTGGTGTCAAAAGACTTGAGAAGACACTCTGTATGGGTGATAGGAAAGCACGGGAGAAGATAGCAGAGAGGAGAGACAAAAGAGCAAAGGAGGAAGGAAGCAAGTAGGCTGTAAAAAAAGAACCTCCCTGGTTTAAAAGGAATTAGCAGTGGAAAACTTTCCGCAGCCTTCGAATTCACGTGAAAGATGAAGTTCAGACGATAACGTGACTGGAGAAGTGAAGCTGCCCAGGTGTGAGGTGGCAGATGAGTTTGGACGAAAGTCACTGCACGATGTACTTCAGGGACAATAGGCTATCGCAATCCTTCAACGGCCACTGCTCTTTGTGATACTCTACACATCATTTACCAGCCAGACTAGAAAACACATTAATGATGCTAGAGACATTAGGGGTCGCGTACATCCAGTCGACTGGTCACTCAGTTAGGGAAAGAACAAGATAAGGTGCCTTGAGCTGTGCTAAAGATTCAGCATCACCAAGACATGAAGACCCGAAGGAGTGACCTCAAATGCATAGCCATTGGATGCTACCTAATTTCAATTCCTTATATACAAGCCCATCGCGAAAACGACAGACTAGACTCGAATCGACTCTGTCTATCAAACAAGACCGAACCTGATTCGAGCTTCCCCCAAAGCCTCGAGACTTAAAGGGGGATTTTGCTTCCCCAGCCTAGTGAACTGACTGACTGACTGCTAAATCGCACTTTTTTGGTATGCCTCAAAAATGCCCCAAAGGACCCCAATGTTGATTTTTGGTAGCCGCCTTAAAACAGAACGATGAGCCTCTTCCCGCCGGCCGAAACCTGAGGAGGAGGAGTCGTAAAGATATCGGTATATGCTCCAAACCCGAACGATGACACATTACTTGATAACGATGTCGTACTCCTGACAGATCGCCCCACCAGTGCTTAGTTCCCGTGCAGACCGTGGGTACGCTCACGCATGGTCTCTCTGCGCTTCCTGTCCGTCTCTGTAATAGTGTGTCAGCAACCAGCTTAGTATACGCAGATATATATGATTACTAACCAGCATCCCATGTGATGAACTCGTGGAGACCCTTGCCCGTCGGCACCATGGGCAGGACAGGCACCTTCTTGTCAGTGACAACCTCCAGCAGAGCCGGGCCCTCGCTGTTGATCAGCCACTCCAAGCTAGCCTTGACCTCCTCCGGCTTGGACACGCGCCTGCTCTGGACACCCATGGCGTCAGCCAGCTTGATGAAGTCGGCGTTCTTCTGGTGGGTGTGGCTGTAGCGGTCTTCGTAGAAGAGGTTCTGCCACTGCGTGACCATGCCCTGCTCCTCGTTGTTCAGGACAATCACCTTGACGCCGATGTTGAACTGAGCGGCAGTGCTGAGCTCGGTGAGCGTCATGGAGAAGGAGGCGTCGCCGTCGACGTCGATGACGAGGGCGTCCGGGCGGGCGACCTTGGCGCCGATGGCGGCGGGCAGACCGTAGCCCATGGTGCCGAGGCCTCCGGAGGTGACGATGGTTCGGGGCTGGCGCCAGCGGAAGTGCTGGGCGACCCACATCTGATGCTGACCGACACCCGTGGCAATAATGGTGTTATCCTTGTTGTCCTTGGTCAGGTTGCTCAACTCCTCGATCAGCTCCTGGGGCTTAATGCGGCCGTTGGTTCCGGAGCGCTCGAAAGCGTTCAGGGGCCACTTGGCCTTCCAGGTATTGATCTCGTCGAACCAGGCCTTGCGGTCCTCCATCGACTTTGTCTCGACGAGAGGAATGAGAAGCTCCAGGTTGGTACCGACATCGCCCTCCACGGCCTCGGTAGCCTGGACGACCTTGTTGATGTTCTTGGGCAGGATATCGAAGTGGACAATGCCACCCTTGCCAGCTTCGGCGGCCGCCTTTGCAGCGGGTGCGAACTTAGCGATGCTGAGAGTCACACGGTCATCGAAGCGTCCTCCGAGGGCAATGATCAGATCGGCCTCCTGCATGGACATGTTTGCGTAGGCAGAGCCGTGCATACCCAGCATGTGCAGGGACTTCTCGTCCAGCTCGTCGAAAGCGCCCAGGCCCTGGAGGGTGGTGGTCACGGGGATGGAAGACTTGTTGGACAAGGCCCTCAGAAGGGCTACACCATTCTCTGAGCATACAACACCCTGGCCAGCATAAATGACAGGCTTCTTGGCGATGTTGATGAGTTCCGCCACGCGCTTGATGGACGCATCCAGCTGCTTCTGGCTGAGCTCCTGAACAGCCCGCGATGCCGCACTAGGCATGGGCGGGAGGGTGCTCTCGGTGGGGATGGCTCTCCTCAGGACGCCGGCTGTGATATCCTTGGGCAGATCGACGAGAACGGGGCCGGGTCGTCCGCTCGTGGCAATCTCGAAAGCCTCGTTGATTCTCTTGGGCAGCTCCGCCACGCTCTTGACCATGACGTTCCACTTGGTGCACGATCTTGAGATGCCGAGAACATCGGCCTCCTGGAAGGCATCGCTGCCAATGGCACTGGTGACGACCTGGCCGGAGAAGACGACCATCGGGGTTCCGTCGGCGAGGGCGTCGGCCATGGGGGTGACGACGTTGGTGGCTCCGGGGCCGGATGTGACGAGAACGACGCCGGGCTTGCCCGAGGCACGGGCGTAGCCCTCAGCCATGTGGCCGGCTCCTTGCTCGTGTCTCGGGAGGACGAAGTCGAAGTGTTTTGAGTTGTAGATGGCATCGAAGACGGGTAGGATGGCACCGCCAGGGTAACCGACTGTGAGTCATGTTAGTAGTCCCAACACCGGATTGAAGATGTACATCGCGACATAAGACATACAAATGTGCTTGACGCCATGTCTTAGCATCATCTCGTGGAAAATCTCTCCTCCAGTCTTGCCAATGAACCTGTGTTGGCCCGTGGTTAACAATTATATACTTTTTTCTTTTCCCCCCCAAGAACAGGCGGGGTTGTTTCAGCGGTGACATACGACTCGTCCATTTCTGGGTGTCGGGGGTTGACGAGAGGCTGGACATGATTCCTGCTCTTGCTGTCGGCAGCATTGAAGGATGGGCTGGGCTTTGCTCGGACGTCACTGGAGGGCAGGGGGTAGTTAGCAAACTGTAGGTATCGTGAGGTGACTCACCACGCAACAACGGCGCGCGGGGGAGTCGAGATGTATAGAGACGAGAGGGTAGCAAACATACGTAGCAGCCGACGTTGTGGCGGCGTTCCTGACATTTGATGAGGGGCCTTTCCTGGCGGCTACGGCAGCGACGGCGGATGTGGTAGAGAGGGAGCGTTGGGAGTGAGTGAAGGCCTTCTTCAAGGCCTTGCTGGCCTGGCCACCGGATCGGAGCATATTGTGAAAAAGAGCGGAGAGAGTATTCTGCGTGCGCGACGCAGCGGGATACAGAAGAAGAATTGCAGAGGGCAACAGAACAGGCGAGTATAGCTGCTACCTGGGAGAATGACACCTGTGCAGTGACGCTTTCATCAGTAATTGAGAAAGGTCAATTGGACAAGGGGAGAGGTGGTGACTCTTCTTTTTTTTGGGTGTTGGTGTTTCGTTTCCAGATGTTAGTAGCCAGCAATCGGCAACGGCACCGACAATCGAAGAGCAGCCGGGGGGCGGCGATTGCTGGATGAGTCGAAAAATTTGGGATTGTGGGGTTGAACCCAATGGCATGCCTTTCTGTGTGCACGGGCCACATGCACCTCTGTGCGCCCTGCTAATGCTAATGGCTGCTACTGCTACTAAGTACTGAGTTGCCCGCCTCAGCCCGCCTGCTGCAAGGTCAACCAACTCCAACATGCAGCAGCCCAATGGCGCGCTCATTCCCGACAGCCATTAGACTAGTCTACTACTAAGTTAGCAGCAGGAAAAAAGGCGGTAACACATTCATTCTCTCTCGAAGCATGTGGCGATATCGGCCAAACGGGCTAGTCTGGAGAGGGTAAGTCTAGCCATTGCATTGCATTGGCCACTGGCGATGCCTGCAATTGCAACTGCGATGAACCGGACGGGAAACCATTCTAACCACCTAACAGTACACTATACTAAACGCACCTGCATGTGATGCTGCTCTGGACCCCTTTGCCCGTCTCTAGCGCTTGGTGGTCGATGTCTCAGTTGGCTAAGCCCAGCCCTATTCTGTTCAATCGCGTCTTCCATTTGGCAGACATCTTAAGAGACTATCTCGACTATCCAGGTTCACTGTAGCCGCTCGATTGGCAGATCCGAGATTCTGCTTACAAGCCGGAAGCTGACATCGTCTGCCCTGCCATCTCGCCGCTACAGGCCACAGCACACCCCGATCGGGGCTGTAAGACCGGCAGACCTGCGATTGCGCGAGTCAGGGCCTCCGCCCACCGTTGCAGCAGCAGCACAAAGGGTCCGCGGGGGCGCCCTCTCTGAGTGCTCAGTGGCCAATTGGGCCTTGAATGGCCTGTACTGGCCTGTGCGCCCACCCCCCCTAATCTGCCGCCTAGCACATCATCTGCAGCAGCTTATCCCGGCTGATATCGATCAGGGCCTCACCTTGGTCAAAAAAACCTGGCAGCATCGCAGCATCCCAGGGTCCCAAGGGTCCCCACGGCCAGAAATCTTGGAAACTCCCGACAAAAAAGGTTTGCCCCTAACGTCAGGTACACGGCTGGCGCTGGGACGCGAGGAGGAATGAGGGAGGAAGCCGTCTCAGGGTCCTTCTCAGGGTCCTCCTCAGGGTCTTCCTCCGCTTTGCGTGCTTTTCCTGTCTGTCTGTCTCCTTATAATGGTGGCAGTGTCTGCTCTCTTGTTGTCTGACATCCTGTTCTCTTGACCTCGACGAGTGTCGCTGTTCAGCTGCTTCAACTGATCTTCCAACCTGCACATCGTGAGATGATTCCTCTGGTCTCCTTCTTTTCTTTCCTCCCGTCCAATGTCGAAAACGGTGCTATAACTCGTTTATACGCCCAACTAAGGCCATTCAATCCCACCCCAGATCAGATGCCGACTCTGAAAGTCATCCTGGCGATGGGATCGCCCACCACTGCATGGTCGCCCGTCTGCATCCACAGGCCACTGAACCCTACGGACCACCAACCTACCATGGGAATAGGAACATGTGCCTTGGAATATTAATATCTTAAAAAAAATGCTTGATTTCTCATATTCGTGGGAGATGCAATAGTAAGTACAGATTGCCACTGGAATCAGTCCCTAAAGTCGAACCCAGGGAGAGACGACAGGATAAAAATCGTCAGGCTCAATATCTACATTGCAGATGACAGACGAACTCGTAGAAGACGAATCCTCCATCTTTTCTTCCCGCTTACTCCCCTTTCATCCAAGAAGACAGCCTAGGCCATATCAACAGAAAGTAAATGCAGTGACATCATCGGCAACACATCGAGCCGAGGACTGCGAGGCACCGTCCGTTCTGTTCTGTAGTACGCATACAAGACTCGCACGATTGACTCGCACGAATCCGTTTGTGCGTATCCTATATTCATGGACCCGAGTCGGAGTAAACGCCATGAAAAATCCAGGAGAAACATCGCCGAAAGGACGACATGAACCATGGAATGGTCTAACGGCGCCCGGTCTGGAGCAATATCAAGGCTGTCTGTCCATGGTGTGAAGACTACAAAAAAGTGCCACGGCGTAACGAAGGGACGACGAAGAGCAGAGAATTCAGGTATCGCAGATGGACGAGGGAGGATGTGGTCTAGAAGACCAGCAAAACTCAAAGGGTTGGATAGGGCATGATGAGGCCGAGGGCGAGGAAGGAAGAACGGCCACGATGCAGTCTATCCAAGCGCGAAACGACTCAAATGGAAAGACATCTGTAAAAGGAGGAAATGGAGTCATTCCAAAAGTTAATATGACAGAGATGGTGATGAAATGGCGGGGAATCAATATCAGCGGGAAAGGGGGGGACGTAGGCGGTCGCGATATGGCAATGATAGGATCCGGGAAACTTTCGGGCAACTGACGAGATGCCAAGCACACACGGCGATGAATCCATCCGGGCAGGCCCTCGCTTTTGATGATGCAGAGATAAGGGGACGCAGGACCAGGACCAGGACCGGAAACAGGCCTCCAGATCTGACCTCCTCCGCCACAGCACCCGAGCCACGGACGGTCTCGACCGGTCGGTCCACGAGCCACGAGCCACACGCAGGGGCAGCCACGCGCCGGGAGACGGGCACCCACATGACGGCCGGGGTGGGCCACCATGCCCATGCAGCCTGCCGAGACAGACACGGGCCTCCCGTCCGGACTCCCCTGACGGCGGCGGCGGCTAAACACCACCTACCGCGCACCCCGGCTCGCCTTTAGCCAAAAACTCGTTTGCCTTGTTTCTTGCTCAGCAAACATCTGATAAGGACCCTGATTCAATAGTTGCTATCAGTGTCGTTCCCGGCTTGTCGAAAATAGGATGGCTGGGAGAGGTAGGTGCTGTCGTCGTCCATGGCAGTGTTGACAAGTGTCTTCCCTCGTCGTTGTCGTCGTACAGAAACGATTCACTTTATATCTCATCTCGTTTCATCTCATCAATCTTGCAACCGTGACACCAAGACGCCACTCCCGCCTTATCCCAGCCAGGAGACAAAGTCACATATGCTTGTGGCACAACACGGGACGCGACAGGAGCTGAGGCTTACTGTACAATCTGAGATATATATTACAGTTTGTCTATCCTAAGACGCTTGCTCGAACACCTGCAAACCAAGCGAACCCAGCACACAACATAACCCAGAAGGGGGTGGGATAAAACATGTGGTTCATGCGATGTCGTGGGTTCAGTGTGTGCTCATCATTTGATTTGGTATGACAAAGGAAAACAACTTGGATGACAGGACAGAAAAACGGCATTTTCCATCATACATCGGGGCATCATTAAACGTGGGTGTACGCAGATTTTCTTTCTTTTCTTATTCCGTCCCGTTTTGGGAACCAAAGACGGCGACCTCGTCGCCGTCAGGATGCTTCTTTCTCTTCCGAGCGTCGCGTGTGATTTACAAGCCATCACTTTACGTTTCACTGTTAGCCATGATCAGCAAATCTGTGAACAAGAGAAGAGGAGGTGCAGCGAAGCCGCTGCGTCAGGGGTTCAAGGCCGGACAGGGGGAGAAGAAAAAAGGAAAGGGCGCGATTACTCACAGCAACGCAAGAGTCAAGTCACCATGGATGCGGGCCTTGAGCTCGATCTCAATCTCGAGGTTCAGGTCCAGGCGCAGCTTGAGCGGGTTCTTGCCGCCCTCGTCGGGCTTTGGCTGGGGCTGCATCTGCTGCTGCGGCTGCTGGTACTGCTGCTGGTACTGCTGCATGTCCTGCTGGGGCTGGTACTGGCGCTGGTTGCGCGGGCGGTTGCGCCGCGGGTTGCGCGCGACCTGCTGGTTCTGCTTCTTCTGGTCCTTCTGCCAGTACGGCTGCTCCTCGTCCTTGGGCGTCGCCGGCTCCGAGGTCGCGGGCGTCGAGCCGGCCTTGGTGTGCTCGGGCTCCTGCTGCGGCTCCGGCTCCGGCTCCGGCTCCTCCTCCTCCTCTTGGTAGTCGCCCTCTTGTTGCTGCTCGTCATACTGGCCGTCATCATACTCCTGGCCGTCGTCGTCGTACTGCTCATCCCCCTGGTACTCCTGCTCCTGGTCTTCCTCCTCTACCTGGGGCGCATGCTCCTCATGCTGTTGTTGGGGCTGGGCCTGATGGGGCTGCGCCTCTTGCTCAATACTGGGCTTCTGCTCTTGCTGTTTTGCTGTTAGTCATATGCGCCTCGTCGCCGAGATGGCGGCACCTCATTGCCTTGTTCACTTACAGAAGACATGTTTACGCTTTGTGGTATCTTTAAGGTGGTTCTTGGGTATGAGTGTATCTAAGACAAAAGCAATGGTGGCTTAGACTGTCATTGATAGTGATGGATAATGTGGAATGGAGATGTGTGATGGGGTGTGGTTCTTTGAAATGTACAAAGTCGGGAATTGGGGGAAAGGGGTATGTAAGGGCGAGTGCCGCGAAGGTGTCACCAGTTGTTTAAATTCGATCAGGCCGCAAACAGGTTCCAAGATTTGTCCAACCAGTCCCCAGTTTCTCTGTCTGCAGCAGGGGACGCTTTACGCAATGGAGGGGACCCTGACCGTGACATGACACAAGAGGCCCATGATTCACATTGTCCTCAGCACTCTCTACGCTACACTATGACAAGGCACTATACGGGTGCAACGGCCGGATCGACTCTCTTTGCGTCAGTGACGCCATGAGGGGGCTGAAGAAGGACGGGGGAGATCAGGTTTTGGGCCCACGATGACAGCCTTAGCCACAGCTCCTAGACTGCCGAACCACAAAGAGGCGCACGGCATGAAGCTGTGACGTTGCGCCGTGGCTCTGATTGGGGGCTTGATGGAAAGGAGGCTGCCTGTACTGAGTGTACTGAGAGGTACCGACAGGGAGCAAGAGAAGAGACGAAACGTGGTGGCTCATGTGGATCGACATGGAGATGTTTACTGGAGACGGGCCAGTGTGAGGTCATAATTAGTGGGTGGTGGAGGGTAGTAGAGGGTAAGGGTTTCTGAAGGCTACAGGGACTGTTGCGCCGATGCTGCATTGGGGGCAGATCATTTAGGGTAAAAGGAGGGGGAGAATGGGAAATGGAAATGGAAATGAGGGAATGACGAAAGGTTGCTTTGCTGAGAGAGAGATCAAGAGACAAATCACCTACCTTGCTTACTTGTTTGCTTGTGTTGCAGAGTACCGTGTCTATGCCTCTTCACTTTCCATTGCAATAAGCTGCTGCTGCTATTGACAGCGCCCCCGTCGCCCAACATATTAGGGCCTAATTTCTCCGCAGGACTTCCCTCCGACCACCAACTGAACAGCATCACGGCACAAAGAAAACAAGAACATTGTCCCGCCCGCAATCATGGTTATTGGCCTGTTGACCATAGCAGCTATCCCGACGACTATAGGCGTCGGGCAGGCGGTCAGCGCTCAGAAGAAGCAGAACGCGGCAGCAAAGGAGAAGGCGAAGTTCCACCTAACGGCAACGCTTTCTATCGACGGCGGCCCTCCCACTGAAGCATGGGTGGTGCTCGTTGACAATCAGGTAAGTCCTCTCCCTCTCTGGTTAGCGTCATTAGCCACAGGCCCCCTCGGCCTATTCATCTACGCCGTAGATGAAGAGGAGGGGGAATGGGAGATGACATGACGTTATGCAGAACAGGCATGGCAAAGAAGATGAGCATGGGGAATGGAAGGTGTGGCTGACATGAAACCAATGGGGGGTTTAGTTGTACATCGATCACCCAGACGCACCAAGGCCTGGCCACAAGTTTACGGGATACTACTTTACGTACCCTAGCGAGGCACAACACCGGGGCCTGGTGAGCACCATTGCAGAGGACCCGCCCATGTTGAACTGGATATACGTGGACAAGGACACCAGCGCGGTGAAGTTTGGCGGGCGCAAGGACACACTCGAGCACACGATTGGTCCGTGGGGCTGGTCGAGTGACGAGAACTTCCTCACTCTCGAAGGCGATGACAGCCGGTTCATCGCTGTCGAGGATGCAGAAAACAAGAATTGGACAGTCTATCTGGTCACAGATCGAGATGGCATGTCTGAGACGGGGGCTGCAGGAGGTACAGAGGATGTGCGGCAAAGTCACAGATGGGCTCCGATCAAACTGCGCAGGAGGATGCAATTGGGCATGGAGAGCCGCTATGTCAAAGGAGAGAAGGACAAGGAGTGAATAAGTGAAGAGTGCTCAAGTTGCCGAGCCCTTCTGTAACGACGGAGCAGAGGCTACTGCGAAGTGACGGAGGGCAAAGGTACGCTTGAGGCGGCGGCTGGCTGGTGAGAGGACTAACAGGCGAAGTAGACGGGTGTGGCGGCAGACACATGGGTACTTCCACTGGCGTTATTGAGGTGTTATGGAGTTGGGTACGCGTTGCCTGGGCGGGTCTGGATGGGTTGTGGCTTGCCTCCGTCTTCTTCACTTTGCACCTCATCGATCTAATAGAGTAACTCGATCTGCAGATCCCTTCAATGTATCTCATGTAGCTTTGTACCCACCGGACACCCGCCACAAGGTCATACCGGCCAGGGTTGAGGATTATCTCGTGCGTTAGACTCGATATTGGATGACCAGACCGCAAGGAGTTATGATCTCATCTGTTTGACCTCATCGTAAAGAGACGCTTTCCAGAATCCTGTTTTAGTGCGGGCAGAGGGGTGAGCTTTCAGATATCAATATAGACCGTAGATTCCGTTCTTTTAAAGATGGTTGCAACGTAAGAAAAAAGATCACTTACGAATTCTTTCGATATCAAAGTTCTTTCAAAAGCTTAGAGGTCTAGTCGTCCCAATTAGTCTTCACATCCACCTAAACACACAAACTCACCAACAACCACAATGTCTGCCGAGAAGAGACCCCAGAACTACGAGTCTGATGCTGAGGACGTTTCGTCTGAGGAGCAGCAATATCAGGCTCCCCCTCCACAACAGCGCCGACGAGGCCAGCGCACACAGCAAAGGCAACAACCACAGCAGCAGCAGCAAGGCGGTGGGCTCCTAGGGGGTCAAGGAGGAGGCCCGCTTCAGCAGGTTGGCCTAGATGGTGTCGGCCAGACAGCTGGTGGTCTAGTTAACGGTGCCACCGGTGCTCTTGGTGGCATCGCTGGCAATGCCGTCGGACAGCAAGGAGGAGACAGCGGCGGCAAGAGTGATACTCTCCGTCTGCGTCTGGACCTGAACCTGGATATTGAAATCACCTTGAAGGCGAAGATTCATGGTGACCTCGAGCTCGCCCTACTGTAAGTAACCTCTGCATCTCCCCCAACCCCACCCACAGCACAGTCCTCTCCAAACCACGCGGCTCCGTGCCAAGTGGCCGGCGCGAACGTGAGCTCTTCTTTGTGAAACCCGCGACACAGTCAAGTTCTTACTAGTTTCTAAAGGACGGGTTAGAGAGACATAGAGAGGTGGCGTCAAGGGCGCCGCCCGCTGCCACGACCAAAACTCGACAAACTCGCCGGGAGGGAACAGGCACAGGTACCTTCGCGAACGGGCTTCTCACAAAGCCCCTCGCTCGCCTGCACGTCCCTCTCCGTGGCTGCGTCAGCGAATGGCTCACCCTCTTTCGCCCTCTCTGCTACATCGAAAAGTCACTGCACTGGCAAGAGGCGTTCAAGGATGTGGAGCTAATCGGGACACTAGAAATGGTTAATCGGCGCCCAACCGGATTACCCCCTAATACCCAGCGTTGTTGCGTGGGACTTTTCATTTGACGAGAGTTTGGATGGGATGTTGTTTCACGTCAACGCTTGCTTTTTTCCCTCTCTTGTGTAGCGTGTGTACGAGCAACGGTCATATTTTAGATTGCTTTGGCACGGAATGTATTTCCACAGGCGAAGTCTTGAGAAAGACGAAATGAAAAGAAAACATGGTCATATCTAACGAAGCTAGATTGTTTCGGCGACCACTTGAATGTACAATTATTACAATGATCATCACGATGTATACCTGTAACTCTAAATGGATCAATGAGAATGTTCCTTTTGTCAAATTTTGCAAGTCTATCACATATTTAAAGTGGCACTATGATGTTTACTCGTTGCCACTGACAAAATCCCAGGTACCTGGCATATTTACGGTAATGTGCAGCATCTCTGTGGAGTGCAGAGGTACTGGCAAAGAAGGTTGCGGGATGTGCGCTGCAGGTTGTCAGATCACTTCGCCGTGACGTCTACCACAGAAGTAACTCTTCTGGTTCGCTAAAACGCTAAGTCGTTTCACTTTGAAAAGAGAATAGCATACAAGTGCAAGTCCCCCGCTACTGACACTTCAGATGCGACATAACACCCTCGGTTTATTGATGGATCACCCGTGACAGACGTCGCTATAAGGCCTATAGAAACCTCTGTTAAGTTGATCCCGAGTGGATGCACACCGCCACACCGCAACCAATGGGGCAGAGGCTCTTCAAGTCTCGACCAGGACGGCGGGAGGACCCAATGGCCGTCTGGGCCGTCCCTCCTTCAACTTTCCCGTCCGAGGCCGTCTCCAGCTGAAAAAGCCCATTAATACCGCCTCTTAATGCCTCTTAGGACATTTGCCTCCGGTGGGTTCGGTAAAGGTCATGGCAACCAGAAGCTGTGGCTTGTCATGACACCAGTGACCAGGGTTACGAGCGGGGAACGACAGTGATCCGCCAGCCTGAGCGTCTTAGACTCGAGACACACAGCCACTCAAGAGGAAAAGCAGCCCTCCAGCCACATGTCATAGTCAGTAGAAACTTGGAAGCCTGCCAACTTTTCAACGTCAAGTCCTTCGAAACGAGCCACAAGTCGTGACTCTGCTGCGTAATCTCTAATAAGATGGCTAGTATCCTTTCCTTTTGGCGATACATGCATATTGTTATGGCAATCATCATCAACTTCAGAAAGTCCTATCCCGGTGCTCCGTGGTGTAAGTTGGTGTGTTGCGTAGAGTGGCTGAATGGCATGACACAAAGCAGCAACAGCTTGTACGTCAGTCTCACAATGCGATTGTCGGGATATCCCGCCTAGGGATCTCTACGATAACGCAATTCTCTGGTCGCTGTCCTAGATCTCGGCTTGCTGCATGAACAGCAATTATCTTAGAGAAAGACCTGGCCATTGTGTCTTTCCATCTGCAGGCTCCCGACGCACAACACAGTTTTAGCGTCCGAGCGTCTCACGGAGCTCACACACTGGCTCAAGGGTTGTTCGACCGTTTCTCTTACAGTACAATAGCTGATATGGTTGTGCTCTTGTCACGTCTTTCCCCAGCTTTTTCGAGTCCCCTGTTACCACAGCGGGTTTCCGCGTCGCGTGGCAGCTTTCATCTAGCAACAGCCATTTCAGGCTGAGTGGCAAGTGTATATGTGCGCATCTTAATCGTTTCAGACGTCACGGAACCGGATAGGCAGTGGGTTCCGGGTGATCGACGGAGCAAGGAGGTGGGGAAAAGAAATCGAGGAGTGTTGCACTGCTCCCGCTGTCATTATGCGTTAATCCGTATTGTGGCTTTCGCGCAGGCTCAACTGCAGTGTTATACACGGCGCTCTTCAGGCTAACCCCCAAAGTAGTCGCAGACGCAAGGTGGAAGCAGTCCGTCATTTGACTCTCCATCCAGAACTTCTCTCTCGTCTGCTGCAACAAGCTGAGCTGAAACAAAATGCAGGCACATGCTTAAGACTTAGACATTGTCAACCTTTTCGTGCATTCATATCCTCGTCAAGTCTCTGGATCATATCCCCCTGTGATCTATTTATTCGTGCCCTGTTAGCACCATCGAGAGCGATTATAGTTCGCCAAGCACAGAATCTCATGGCCACCCGAAACCATTAGTTTAGTGCTCTCGACACGCAAGCCCGACGGATAGAGACCGTTGAGCCGGTGTAATACAATCCTTAGCTTCGACCGATTACTCTAGCGCTAATGAGGCAGGACGAATTCGTGACTTCCTCGCTGCCAAAAGTCGCCCGTCCCGCCCCAAGACGTAAAGAGCATCTGTAGAGTGAATTACGAATAAATGACTAAAAGACAAAACAACAGGAATGAAGACTTTCACTTTAGCACATGATCCAGATTAAAACATCGTCACCTCTCATAGAAACCTCATTATTACAGAATAGTTGATCGACTGTCTTAGAAGGCTGATGCTTGAAGTATCGAGGATCGGCGATCTCTTCAGCAAGCCGCTTGTCAGACTAAGAAGCCCCATGTACCCCTTCATCGTTTCCGATGGGCTGCAAGCTCAGAGGACGTCAGCCACATCCCCGTAACGCCCCAGTCTTCTGCAGCGTTTACGCACAAGAGGCTTGAGAGCACTTTTAACAACAGGATTCTTGGCATTTCTACAGGCCTTCTGTGGACAAGCCACTCTTTATTGATGTCATAGACTTAACAAGGAGTGGCTGCAGCCACGACGATCCGGCACGGCTCCAACCTCATCCCCTTTCCTCGCTTGAAGATTTTCCCCTGCGCGCGTACAGTAGCTGCTCTCTAGCATTCCCACATACAGTTCTCTAGAGTGTAGATGAGATTCGGCCGACTGAACCTTTGCGCAAAGAAAGTTCTAGGCCTACCTACCCGACACTCAATTAACCCCCACCTAATCTAATCTAGCAGTTGTGACGTAGGTCTCTTCACATTGCCGCAACTTACCACTGTCGCGATGCTAACCGTCGCGTCTCAGTAAATTGGCCATAGTTTATTGCCTTCACAGCCGTTAATCGACAATCGCTTACTGTGCCGTCTACGCGGAAAGTTTGCCTACGCTCGGCACAAGCAAGTCATACATGTCACAGGAGCCGTTGTCTTACCTACTCAACTCGCTACGAGAGATCAACGTGATGATCCCGTTCCGGCCCAAATCTGCTGGCGGCGGCGGCCGGCAGCAGCAACCCGAGTCTGCAAGCCGACACTCACGTCAGAGTTCCGTGCAACATGACCCGCCCGAGGAGGACTTCGAGGTGGAAGAGTTGCCAGATGACTACAAGACAGAAGGAGAGGCAGAAAACACGCCGCGTGCATCAGTAGAGGACGAGCGGCCAAAAACCAAGCCCGGAGACCCTGCATATGTCTCGCCAATTCCAAAGATTCCGAGAATCCCCTCTATTCACCGCGCACCCGGTTCTCCAACAAGTCGGAGGTCGGTGCAGCAGATTGTAAAAGATCACCTTGTGGGAAAGAGAATCGACGAGTTTGGAGACATCGTAGACGAAGAGACCGGAAAGGTGCTCGGCAGAGTTGCAGGAGATTTGCCTTCGATGGTCGGCAGAACAGTTTTAAATCAACGTGGAGATGTTCTCGGCGACGACGGAGAGCTGCTGGGATATGTGGCCGAGGTTGAGACGGAAGACGAGGGCAGCCAGGAGGTCCCCAGATATCAAACCCCAAGGCCCGAACAAACGAAGAGCTTGCAAGACTTCATGAAAGCTAAGGGCAACGGTGGCCTGATGGTTGATCCGTTCGGCAACATCTTGGACGGGAACGGGAATGTTGTAGGAAGTTTCCACGATAAGATCAGTGGATTTGGCAAGCCTGCCCAAGCGTCAGGGAGTAAGGATAGGGATAGAACCCCGCCAGCAAGGGAGAAGGAGAAAGGAAAGGAAAAGGACGAGGAAAGTGAGGAGAGGGACCTTGAGGAAGAAACAAAGGAGGAGAAGCGGCCTAACGCACAGAGCCACAGGAAGGAGGATCCAAAAGAGAGCCCGTCGGATATATTCCTGGATGTGAAGTCCACAATTGAGGGGATCCAGCTGACGATCCGGATACCAACGGTATTTCCAGGTGGGGGTCAGGCAGGCCCGCCAAGAGTCTCGTTTGTTAGTTAGTCGTAAATGGTCCTTAGGCGTTCTGGACGGCTCTGGTGTACAGTCACGGGAGACGGCGTCGAGGGGCGTTCGAGGCCACTGCCATACTTGGGTGTGATATCCACGTGGGATCAGGATAGAGCAATCATAGCCCCAGATAATCAGATATCCGTTATAATCGAGCGAGCTGAAAAGCCTTCGTTATCTAAATGTAAATTATCTCGGCAATTCCTTAGAAGGAATGGACCTCATAGTTTCGAGTGCAAGCAGGTTTCGTAGAACCCTGGAGCAAGCAGAAAGCACTCTATCAGGAGGATGAGATGACGTAGAAACTGGTGAGGTCGAGAATCGAAAGAGACTGAGAAACAACGAACGTTGTGAGACCGTAGATCATTACGAAAAGGCGTTGGAAGAGGAGGGTAGACCAGACACGCTAGGACGAGGTGGAGTCGCAGGAGTGGTGGGAGCTGGTGTAAGTCATTCGCCACACGTCAGGCAGCCCACAAGCCACACCTGCAATAACCTGTTTGTTCGACCTTCTGGCCCCCTACCTCGACATGGTTGTCCGTTGCTATTGTCTGTATGTCTGGCCCAATGATATGATCTGGACATAGCATCCGGTGGATTGATCCAATAAACTTCTCCATGAGAGGAAGCTCTCGTCTCGCACACGGCCCGGGGCCAGCAAGGCCAGGTATGCACACTGATTCACATATCGCCATGATGAAGTCATCTGAGGCCTTGAACGGGCTCTCGGGCTCGACATGAGCTGGAGCTTCACACTTCTCGATCTTCCTATACGGCGAGTGCCACGGTCGATCGAGATCAAGTGTGGCTGGTGACGTAAAGCTATATGGTCTTCTTGATGACGTTCCACACAAGCTGCGGAAGCTTCATGGAGCTCCTAGAGGGCATATAAGGTGGTATTCCGAGCGTTCAAGCCTCACGACGACTTAATTAAGGCCTAGTGTCCTTTATATACCACAACACAAATATCGTGAATCTACAAATCCCATCTTACAAAACCCTATTACTTCAGTTGAATCACCACATCTGAAACAACTACCCAATAATATCATTTCATCATGACCGACACTGCCCAGAAACGAGCACCTCCAGGAGGATGGCCCTGGGCTAAGAAACAAGGCGAGTCTACCAAGGGCTCTGAGGCGCCCATCAGCACACAAGACAAAGGCGTCCAAGAGCCTGAACTCGCAAAGACCCAGTCTGAGAATCCCATCGAGATGAAGGACGATGCCGCTGAGAAGGTTGGCAGCACCAAGGATGATGTTGTGAGGAAGACCGGATCAGTACACAACTCAGTGTCCCAAAAGAAGGACCCCGAGCTCATGACTAACGGCGAAACGAATGGAGAGACGAACGGCGAGGTTCCCGAGGAAGTTCAGTCCAGAATCAATGGCAGCAAGGATCTTCCCGACGTTCCTGAGGATGAGGGCAAGGATATGACCGAGCCTGACCAACTACAGCAACAAACTGGAGATGTCACAGATCAAGCACAGCAAGATGTCGAAGATACCACCGGCGATGTGCAAGACAAAGCCGACGATATCCAAGCCCAAACAGAAGATGTTCAGGACCCTACTGACGACATCAAGGCCAAGACAGAGGATCCTGCTAGCGACATCAAGGACAAGACAGATGACGTTCAAGACCAAGCACAAACACCGGCTGAGGACCAGAAATCTCAATCAGGGTTCTCAAACATCGCATCTGGAGTCAAGAATCTAGTACCCACGTCATTTGGCAGCAAGCAACCCAGTCAAGCGGATGTGACTTCCCAGCAGGGAGAGATCCCGGAGGAATTCCAGAAGCTACGAGATCAGATCGGCGACCAAGACACCTTGACGATGCCCAAAGAGGCAGAGGATGGTCAAAAGACTGCCGAGGATGCTACCGGTGATGTCAAGGAGGTTGAGCCAGAGCCGATCTCTGAGCAAACCGAGAACCTCCCCGAGGACGCCGAAAAGAAACCCGAGGAGTTGACCGAAGAGGCTCAAAAGCTTCCGGAGGATGCTCCCCAGACTGACGAACTCCCCGAAGACGCTCAATCCAAGATTGATGAAACCACTGGTGATGTTCCTGAGACTGATGAACTCCCCGAGGATGCTCAATCCAAGATTGATGAAACCACTGGTGATGTTCCTGAGACTGATGTACTCCCCGAGGATGCTCAGTCGAAGATCGATGAGACCGCCGAGACTGCTGGCGACAAGGTTGATGAGACTGCTGAGACGGCTGAGGAGGCTGCTCCCGAGATTGACTTCTCTGTCCTGAAGGGATGCCAGGTCAACAAGGGCGGCAATGTTGTCAACGACAAAGGTCAAGCAATTGGGCGCATCACCTCCGGCATTATGGCTCAGCTTATCGGCCGAAAGGTCGATGAGAACGGCAAGATCTGGAATGACAACGGAAAGGAGATTGGTGCAGCTGAGCCTATCCCCGAGAATGAATTGCAGGAGATGGCCGACAGCAAGCCTTTTGAGTCTTTCGAAGGCAACTCTATTGACGGCACCGGCTTTGTCATTTTTAACGGCGATAAGATCGGAAAGGTTACCGAGGGTGATCTGAAGGTTGTCCGCGGCAAGACTGTCGATGCCGATGGTGACATCCTTGACAAGTCTGGCAATGTTATTGGCAAGGCTGAGCGTTGGGAGGAAGAGCCAGAGCCGGAGCCGGAGCCGGAGGCTGAAGTTGACCGATCTATTCTTGCTGGCAAGCGCGTTAACAAGGCAGGTAACGTTGTCGACAGCAGCGGTACCATCTTCGGACGCGTTATTGAGGGCGACCCAAAGTCTATGGTCGGTCGCATGTGCAACAAGAAGGGAGAGATCCTCAGCGAGTCTGGTGATGTTATTGGCAAGGCTGAAGTCGTCCCTGAGGGCGAACGCGAGGGTCTGAAAGAAGGGCCCTTCGCTGAACTCTCCGGCTTGACAGTCACTAAGGATGGTAAGGTCGTTACTCCTGGTGGCGATGTTGTCGGCCGGGTCATTAAGGGCGATCCGAAGATCCTTGCTGGTCGTGTTGTTGATGAGGATGGTGACATCCTCGATAAGAATGGCAATTCCCTTGGCAAGGCTGAGCGATGGGAAGAGCCTGAGGTTGAGAAGACTAAGGGTCCTATGGCTGGCCTTCACGTCAACCGTGAGGGTAACGTCGTCGACACACAAGGCAACCTCGTCGGTAAGTTGACAAGCGGCGATGTCAATATCTGTGCCGGAAAGGAGATTGACGATGATGGTGATGTCATCAACTCCAAGGGCCAGACTGTTGGTCATGTCAACCTGATCTCAGATATCCCCGAGCCTGCGCCTGAGGGTGAGTCTGAGGAGGACAAGAAGAAGCGCGAGGATCTCGAGAGAGATAAGAAACTCGCATCTCAAATGTCCGTCTGCCTCGAGCAGTGCCTCGACAAGATTAAGCCTATTTGCAAGATGATCACCGCCAAGATCGAGAAGGCTGAGCGCACACCCGAGGATGAGCGTGACGAGGATGCTCTTGTCAAGGAGGTGCGTCCTCTCATTGAAGAGGGTGGAAAGATCCTCCAGGAGGCCCATGGTATCATCAAGGGTCTCGACCCCGATGGCCGTATCCAGGCCAACGCTAAGCACAGGTCAGCTACTCGCGAGGCCACCTCCGAGGAGTTTCATCTTGCCGATGTCATTAAGGAGGTAAGATACAACCCTTAATCATCCCAAATATATGCAATGCTAAAATGTTTATAGCTTACCGGAAGCGTCACTGAGTGTATTGAGACAGCCAAGCGCAAGCTTGAGGATATGCCTCATGCTAAGAAGGAGCTCAGCCCACTTTGGGGACTCCTTGGCGAGCCTCTCTTCCAGATCATTGCTGCCGTTGGCTTGTTGCTGAACGGTGTTCTGGGAATTGTCGGAAGACTTCTCAGCGGCCTTGGTCTTGGCGGTATTCTCGACGGTCTTCTAGGCACCCTAGGCATCAAGAATATTCTTGGTGCTCTCGGTGTTGGCTCGTTGACTGATGCCTTGACTGGCAAGAAGAGCAAGGGCAAGAAATAAAGGATGAGAAATGATTTACGTTTGTATGACTTCTCTCATAATTGTCACGGTATTGGGATATGGATTGTATTGGTACTTGGCTTGAAAAGTGTTTTCAATTATGTCTCATTATGTCATGGAGACTATCTAGTCTAGTTTGTCAGGCCTGTTTAAGTAGATAGTTAATGAACGATGCATTAAACAAATCTATCAGTGTTCGCATGATTGTGCCATCATATTATATCAATTTGACGAGAGTGTTCATTTGTTTTGGAAACTCAATTTATTTTGACCTTTCTAACAAGAAAACTAATTTTAGAATACTATAAGACTTCCTCCATTGCCCTGCTCCTCCTTTGACGAAACATACCGACCAGGTCACAACTACAGATGCCACGCAGTGATGTCACAAAGCTATGCCTCAAACCCCAAAACAAACATAGTAGTGGAATGGGTTGTAACAGAATATAATTTCCCTCAAAAATAATCCATGTGGACAGCTGTAGTGTCTTTGTTTAAGCACGAGTGTTGTTGACAAGATCCCAATCTGACCCCTGTTCGTCAAGTTGCTCAGTAGTATCCTTGTTATTTGTATCATGCGAGGAAAGCTCCAGGGATGTTCTAGTTGAGATGATAACGTGGACTGGAGTTTGTGACCCAGGCTCTTCAATCGGAATCAGAGGGGAGCCAAGATCTAGTGGGGGAATGCCCTCACCGGCAATGCGGGGCCTATTCTGCTGTCTTAACCTTCCCATGCGAGGATGAGGCGTTGCAGGACGAATCACAATCTGGGCGTTAGCTCTCGTGCATTGCGAAGTCAACGGATCATTAGCCGTGGGTCTGCAACCTCTAGCAAATGGTGTGGGCGGACGATTGATAATCGGCAGATCTCTCTGCCCACTGCCAGCCTCGGAGTTCCAGGTGTTGTCCCAATCATCGTCATCGCTCGAGCCATTATTCGATGGCGTATCAAAGCCCTCATCGCTGGAGTCCTCCATATCAGTCGGCTTCGCGAGAGCTATATGTGATGAGCCTCTTGCGTCTCGGGCCATAGCCTCCGGCTTCCTCTCGTCGGCTGAGTTGTAAGAACCACCTCGTAGAGCAGGGCAGGAGTGAGACCTGCGTTGTAGGTTGGTTCTGAGAGATCTGAAAGCAGGCCGACGGCGCAACTTCGTTGGACAATTTTGCCCGTAGGGAGTCTCATCCTCTAACTCTGTGGTGTTGCTAGGAATACTCGAATTTCGGGGGATGCCAGCACTTAGCTGTGTATGATTATTTGTCTGATGTGATTCCGCTGTCTCGAGATCCTCACTGCCAAGCCTATTGTAACCAACCAGCGGACATTTCTCTCTGCAACCGCGGTGCGGCCAATGACGGTGTCCTGGACGTTCAAAGGCCATATTCTCATTTGAAAAGTCCAGGTCGGCTATGGTATTAAGAGCCAAGGCCAGGCGCCTGTCCACCTGGTAATTGCAAAATAGAGCTCGATATTCGGGGCGGTTGTCAAACCAGGCCGCCCGAAACTCCGTTGACTGTGGCGGTGAAGTCTGGTAGGAGTCGTAATCACATACCATCTGCTCCCAGCGAGCCAAGACAAGGGGATGATACCAGACGCTGAGTCTTCGTCTGAGACCAGTCTCGACGTTTCGAAGTATGTCGTGCATGGCCGGGTGTTGGCGATCCAACCAAGCTTCGAAGCCGTGTCGTGACCAAAATTCAATGCCTCTATGGACAACCCATTCATGAATGTATGGGACTATGGTCTTGTACAGGACAAAATGATATCCCATGGTATCAATGAAGTCGGAGTGGTTGATGTTATGCTGCAGATTGCTCATGAACTCAAGCACACCCTGCGAGGCGCTGATGTGAGGAATTGTATCATTAATCCACAGCGCGACAATACAGCATGCATCTGTAACAACCGGGTCGTTCAGATCACTGTTAAATGGATATTGGTAGTAGACATTGCGAGGCAATGTTGCCTGGACCCGGTTTGTATGTCGAAATCGTTGATCGGCCGTCCAGGTATGCTCGCGAAGAAGCGACTGAGCGCGGAGAACAAGTCGTCTCCAGTGACGCGCTATAAAACCCTCAGCCAGCGGGCCGGGAACCCAATTCGCAGTGGAAGCGGAAGAGCTCTCACGGCTGTTGGTGTGATTATGCCTATCCATAATGATTGTAGTCTACGCTCAGCAATAGAATTTGGTGAATTGAAGTTAAATTGTGGTATGACACGGGGGATTGTTAAGTCAAAACGAAGAGTTGGATGGAAGGTGTCAAGTCGAGAAGTAGATTGTAAAAAAACAGCAAACGATAGGGCAGTACTGGACCAGGAAGATGCCGCCGACAAACGAGAAGTCCAGAGATTACAAGGAATTATGATAGTGTAAGTGGTGCAAATGTGTTGGGAGATGAGAAGCAATTGTCCAAGACCCGGTGCAGCAAGCGAATTATATACCTGCCTATGAACTATTCGGAGAAAGATCACGGAGAAAGATCGCGGAGAAGCTTACGAGACCGTTAAATGAACGTGAGCGCCAGACAACCAAAGCCTGGTAAGTAGATCTCGAACCGGGGAACGTTGTAGGTTTAAGGTTTATGACTCTACTCACCAGTTTCTGGATTCATTTCCTCGACATCATCCGCTGTTCAAGACTCAACTAGCCAATCCCCGGGACTCAAGCGATGCTTATTATCAGAATAAAAGGGTTTTTTTCCCCAGTGAAGGACTGGAAGAGCCAAATTATTTGGTTCGATATGTTCAATTGTTAGATTAAAACTCAGACGCTACTGCCAATGCTGAATCCGATTGCTATGTGGAGGACAAGTTGGTTGATAGTCGCATAAACACTGTGGTGAAATACTCGTGAAGGTAATGACAAAAAAGCAGTCCAAGTTCCCTAGTTATCACAGGAGAAAGCAGGTGTGCTCCGCCTTCCTCCCATCTCAGAAAGAATTCTCCTCCAAACGCCGCTTCCTCAGTCTAATCACCTAGATAATGTGCTTTAACCTGAGGGATTCAATTAATTGTGACGGAGTGCAATAGCGAGACTGAACATGAATTCATGAATTAGGAAGTCTCTCGTAACCGTGTAAGTGACGTCTGAGTCCCTTCCAGTAGACTAGCGTACGGCGCTGGCCGGCAGCACGGAGGCGGAAAATCTCGACCTCCGTTCGCATGATTTTCCCAGAGCTTCCTCCATTTTGAAGATCAACGAGCGACGACAGCTGTTAAATCCTCCAACAATCACTCCTTTCACCTCGCCCACTTGCCCAAGTTCGACATCCGGCGTATCTGCGAAGCACACAAAGTGCCGTCCAGCGTCTCCACAGCGTCTCCAGAGAGTCAACCAAGCCAGACTGAGCTCGGGTAGCTCAGGGGAAACGTCCAGTATCTTGGGGTGAGCCCGAACGAACGAACGAACGAACGAACGAGACTCAACAACAGAAGCGGCAATCGCTGCTGTTCGACAAGGCAATAGGTGGCCACTCTCCGGCATTCTTCTCTGTACACGAAACATACACCGAAATGGCTTCACATCTTTCCGTCCGTGGCCTCGCCAGGCCACTCACATCACAACCTGCTGCGTGCCTGCTCCAACCTCGATCCTCCTCCAGCCTGCTCAGCCAATGCCGAGCTCTACAAACACAAAATGCCACCGCCGCCCGCGCCTTCTCGACCTCCCCCACCCACCAGAAACGCCTCGCGCAGCACGAGAAGCGCGACGTCAAGATCGTGACCCTGCTGCAAGCGCTCGCGACGACGGCGCCGGACCGCGCGCGGCCGCCGCTGCGCATGGCGCGCAACCGCCACCTGCGGCACTGGACGATCCACCGGGCGTGGCTGCTGTTCCGGCGGCAGCGGCGCGAGCAGCGCGAGCGCGAGCTGATGCAGCAGTACCAGGCGATGCACAACGCGTGCGAGGCGCTGCGGCTGACCGAGGGCCCCGGCACGCGGCCCGAGGGCTACCTGTACCGCGTGGCCATGGAGAAGAAGGGCGTGTACGGCCACGCCGGCGTGCCGATCGAGTATGCGAGGGCGCAGGTCGAGACGCCCGCTAGGGAGCCGTGGAACCATGACTGGAAGAGGGTCTAGAGTGAGAGGCGGATGATGCTCTTGTACGGGAGGCTCTTCTCCTACTGCGTCTAACCTGATAGCTGCGACAGCAGTTTGTACATGTCACAAATATGTAATATACCACTAGAACTCCTCATACGGCTGTTTTTGCCGACACGGGTTTGACACTCCTAGCAATCCTGTGGAACATTGAAATTAGGTGTCATTAAATCTTTTGCTCTTCAATCATTCTGCCGAGTGCATTATCTGCTTGTGTCTGCATGCTCCAATCTCCCTGTTACATGATCCACACACTCTCTTTAGAATGGATTGGATTCTCCCCGGTTTCCCTGTTGGTAGCGAGTATTTTGACTCCCAGCATCTGTCCCCCCTTTCTGCTTCCGGACCGAGCTCTATAAACATGTGGTAGTGGTAGTAGTATTACATTGCTGTAGATGTGTTTCGATATGAGAAGAGGCATTGAAGGCTCAAAGTGATTATTCATTCGACCCTGTGCGAAGTATCCCCCTAGTTGATTCATTGATCCCTATGCGAGTAGTGATCCGGACCGCTTTGCTGCTGCTGCTGCTGATGATGATGCTGGGAGCGAAATGATATAAATGCAGACGAAGGCCACCCATCCGTTCTCCCTCGTGGTCCCTTCCACCTTTCCATGTTTGTTGTAATCGAAACCCCTCTCTTGTATCATCGGTATGAAGCGCCTCATAAGATGACGCAGCAGCCACCGCCCTCGCCCTTCTCGAACGTCAGCAGGGCCGCCCGCGTGGCGGCCTCGAACACATCGTCGACGCCCTCGCCGCTCAAGCTGGAGCACTCGAGGTATTTGCGCGCGCCGATCTCGCGGGCGGCCACCTCGCCGTCATGCTCGGTGACAAATCGGAGGGACTTCTTGCGCATCTCCTCGATGGCGACGGGGTCCTCGCGCAGGTCCTTCTTCAGGCCGACCAGGATAATGGGGACGCCGGGGCACTTTTCTGTTGCTTCTTCCACCCACTGCAGCAGAGCGAGCCGTGTCAGCCACTTCATTTCTTTTATGTAATTGTTCAGACACTGCTGCCCGCAGCCGGAACATCCTCCGGCGTGTAGGGTCACACGGGCGATATGCCATGTTCCACAAGAAGATAACGGTAGTTGCGGTGAAGAAATACAGGGGGGGAGGAGAGAACGGCGTACCTTGTGCTTCACGTTATCTAGGGAATCCGGCGTATCGACGGAGAAGCCTATTAGGATGACATGGGCCTTGGAGTATGCGAGTGGCCGTAACCGTTCGTAGTCTTCTTGCCCTGCCGTATCCCATAGTGCCAGCTGGACTGACTTGCCGTCTACTCGGCAATCTGTAACGTAGTTTTCGAAGACGGTGGGGATCTGTGGATTAAGGAGTCAGGGATCGGCATCGGCATCGGAGGCAGTAACGCTCAGGGACTCTTTTTTCCGGGGGTCGGACGAGGGAAGATAGGGGATCGAGTGCATTGGTAGCCGTGAAGAACTTACGTAGTGCTGAGGAAGAAACAATTAGTATGAGGGCCTTGGTAGGACGGCGAGGATTGCGATGGTGGAGTGACTTACTGTTGGGAAGTAGCCCAATGTGAAGACGCTCAACAGACTGGTCTTGCCGCAAGCTCCATCGCCAATGATTACGAGTTTCCTGCTCGGCGAGGAGTGTCAGAGGGCCCAATTCAACGAGAACGGGAAGAAGATGATGTAGCTGACCTGCGGATGACATTCTGGGCGGCGCCAGCGCTTGCCATGGCTGCGTGGGCGAGCAGCAGACGTTGTCGGCCTCCAGCTGCTGGCTGTGCTGCGGTGGTGGTGAACCTCGCCTAAGGAGGTTTATCGGCCTCGCTCGATGCTAGCACGATAGCGCGTATTCAGAGTTTCTCTAGTTGCACGTCTCTGCTCTGGGGCGGATAAGGTGGTGAACGTCGGCAAACGGAGAAAAGGAGAAGGAGGCCGGCTTAGAGTGCACACACTGGCAGCTCTGTGATCTTTTCTGATTAGATTTTGGTGTTTTGGTTGGAAGGGGGAGAGATGGAAAGGAAATACGAAGCTGGGCTGCGCCTGGTCAGGAAATTTTGGGAAAGAGGAGGGGGAGAAGCACCACCCACCACCTGCACCTACAGATAACGTTAGGTAGATCTACTGCTAATGATTATTGTATGGGGTGAAGTACCCAAGTCCCAGGTTTCTTCAATGCGCAGCAGCACCACAATTCTACACTGCACTACAATGCCAATGCTAAGCAGGTACCTATATATCTGAAGCACACAGGCAAGAGAGAACTTAGTATGCTGTCCGCTGTACCACAGCCCCTTTGCCAGTTAATTGTTGGGTGAATGGATGAATGAATCAGATAATAGCAGCAACCTTCAGCTTGGGCTCCTTCGTTAGCACGCTGCAGCTGCTAGAGTAGCACAACGGGGAACTGGGATCGGACGACAAGATGCTATGCGACGACCAGCCAGGGGTACTTAGGTATCTGCAGGGCTTACCTGGATGTCTTATGTAACAACTGCGCTTCTCGCCGTCCTGGCCCAGTTCTGTTAGCCGCTAACACGCAGCAGTAGCTGGGCTTGGCTTGCTAGGACTTTCGGAGGGTCTCTGACGACAGCGGCACGAAACGCCTGACAATGATGAATTTGATACAAGGTTCAGTACGTAGACGGTACCCGCGTTGCGCAGGTTATCTAGCGGGCAAACGAGCGCTAGCGTTCTTGTTACATCTTGTTATAGGACACTCGGAGTCCTCGAAAGTGAAGTAACCCAGTAAGTAATCCTCTTCGCCTGACAGTACTAGATGCGTTCCTGAAGCAGGTCTCTATCTGGTCGCCCTTGGCTTTAACTCGGCAGAATCAAGACTGATTATACGAGAAGACTACTGCAGGGTTGACATGTTATGATGTTATGATATGATAGAGGTGTCTATTTACTCTGGCCTTGACAAACAGATTTACAAAGAGTTCAATGCGCGGCCGTGGAACCCGCGCGTCTTGGAAGACTCCGGGACCTACGGTACTCTAGTTTAGGCGTAGCTAGGTAGCTGAAGGTTTGACGACCCGCACCATCCACGCCCGTTTTGCTGGGCCGGCGACGCTGATAGGCCTGTCTCCTGTCTCCGATGGCGCTGAATGTCTGCAGGGCAGTGAGGCTGTGCACTAACTGAATTCCTGGGTCGTCTGGGTCGGTCCCGTCTTGGGTACATGGCATAAATGGATACCAGTTACTACCCGGGAGGGAGGGAAAAGGAGGGAAGTTCCGCAATCAATGGACCTATTTCGGGTCAGCTTTACGGGCAGACGGACCCCTGGGCTTCCCTGGGCTTGTGCACTGAAGGAGCTTCCCTCCCTGGGTACGGCAGTTGAGAGGATGCCCCAGCTGAGGCTGCTGGACACTGGATAGGCTTTCTTGACTACTGCGTAGACACACCTTGGGCATGCACACAACATTGCTAGCTTACAGTGTGACAACTCTAGCCGGGTGCCGGAAATGCAAGTTCTCGGAGAAATAAGAAGCCCTAAAGAGCTACGGTGTCAGTCTCATGCTTCACAAGTCTAAGGCAGGTACTCGCGAGCTTGGGGGAGACTTGTTGGTCAACGGGCCTTAGTCAGAGATGCTCGAGCAATTGCAGCTCTAAGGCTGAGCTGGTGGGCTCGGAGCTGACGGCGGTGTGTAAGTCACCGCCGTAGAGCAGCAGGATGTGGTGTTGCGATCCTCTCAGGAGCAAGCATGGGAGTGAAAACCACTTGGCTATCATCGACAGCTTGCTGCTCGTATCCTTTCATCAGGCGAGCCTGGCGCCTGGCTACCCAGGCGAGAGCTCGGCGGCTGCTGGAGATCAGGGGTATAAGGCGCCGTCCCACCGGACCGGACACTTCGGCCGCAAGCGCCTCTAGTGCTTCCAAATTCCCATGCCATTATACAAATCATACGTAAACCCAACGCAAGATTTAATTTGATTGCAATTGCTATCTCGATCCATATATGATTACAGATGAGCACAAGAAAATTTGAATTAGAAGCCTTTCTGTCTAGTACGGTGAGTGCGTTTGGTTGTCAGATAGAAAAGGTGCTGTAAGCTACCTGCAAAATGTAGGAAAGAGGCAAAGCATGTGTGCTTGGCAGTTTTGACAGGCGAAGTCGTCCGCTGCCTGGAAGGATTCGAAAAATCGATACCTTCAGTTTGATGAAGAAATGTTGTCTCGATCATTGCATTTCAACGCTTAGTTGGATTGTCAAGTGGTTTTCTGGGGAGGCCGGAGTGGTCGGCTATGCCTGTCCATAGAGGTTCTCGCGATATACGACACCGATCTCAGCAGGCGGAGTCATATTCGCGAGGAGGAAAGTGCCTTGACAAGATCCAGAAGGATTGCGAGAGAGATGGCAATTTGATAGAAGATATTGGCGCCATCTTAGACGCCTGCTGATTAGTGTGGTACGTTGGCACTTTCAATTGCTCGGTTTTTAACTTGATAAACCTTCCAATGAGGATGGTTCTCCATGTCGTTGGGTGCCGCTTGAAGAAATGAATAAGATTATGTGATGACAAGCTTCCTCTCCGCCCTTGGAACAAACAAAGGCGATTAATGAATATCAATCAATTTCAATCTGCAAAAAGCAGTGATATCGAATAATTCCTCACCACTGTAGGCATTGAAATATGACCTTTTAGCTGTCAAGCGCATGGTTATTTAGGTATTTTGTATTATGTAAGGTAAGGCTGGGAGCTGTTAACAATTTGTGCCTGAGGTGTAACGAGCGTATCAGCAACTTAGGCTGGGCAGGCTCACGTGATACCCCCACAAATCGCCGGACAGCCGCGCCTGAAAATTGACTGTAATTCGCCCACTCGTGCCTCAGGTCGCCTGCTGGTACTTGCCACACCAGCACTGCCCCAGAGAGTACCTCATCGGGACTTCTTTAGTGCGGGCCTTTGCCGAAGATTGAACAACCACCACGCTCTCGCAGACAAGCCAGTACTGGAAGTGTCACAAAATCCAATCCAACACCGTTCGTTCTGGGCCAAAGCATCACCACCCTCGCGGCCGCCGCTCGTCGCCAGTCCAGTTCTGTGCTTGCCTCCGCCAAGCTATCGACCTGCGAAGCCCGATTTCCTGTCCACAACGGTAAGAGAGCCACAGCCCCTCTTCCAACAAGCCCTCTCGGTCCTCCCAGCTTCAGACCTGCCTCACCCCAGACCTTGTTGTGCCAGCTTGCCCAAGCCTTACGATTATTGCCTCTGTACAAGCCAAAGCTATGAAGAAATATCAAGTTGGGCCGGGTGAGCTTGGACAAGGTCGCTGTTGGGATTTGGGACACCCATCTTATCCCTACGAAAACGCCACCAGTTTATCGCCGCAAATTGTCACTAATCAGATTTTGGTCACAGCCCCCTCTCATTCCGACCCCCAACTCTCCGCTGGACTCGCATCTCTAGGCAGAGCCTCAGACCTCTCTATGAGTTCGACAGCCGCCAGATTTCCGACTAGATAATTCACCATGAAGGGAGGCGCCCGTAATCAGCCTGCGGCCGCCGCATCCCAACAACAGCATGTCCCGCCCTCACCGACTACGAAAGGCACGGCGAAGTACACCAACAAGGACGGATCAAAGTTCATAACTGTGCCCAAGGTCGCCACTCCCGTTGAGACCTCTCAGCCTTCCCCGACGACGTCAAATGCTTCTGGACCAAAAGGTCAAACAAACCCGGCTGGGACCACCGCCGGCGCCAACGGACCGGCCCCAGCCCCCGTAAATCGCAAGAAGCAGAAGCGTCGAGCAAAGGCTGCCGCGAAAGCAGCAGCTGAGGCAGGTCTACCTAGCGATCATCCTAACGGCTTACCCAGTCCCGCAGCGTCAGCAGGTCATGATTCCAAGCATCTGGACGCCGATGCCGCTGATGAGAGTGACGACGACGACGAGCACTTCCACGATACTCACCATCATCTTCATGCTCACGGAAATGGATATGGGGATCTGTCCGGTAGCAAGTCCAAAAAGTCCAAGAAGAAGAAGAAGAAAGGCAGTACTCCAGGACCAGCCGCAGAAATCGAAACTCCGCATGAGCATCCATCGTCGCCCCCGCCGAACCTGGTTCACCGTGGCTCCGGCATATCTAAGGAAAAGATATGGAATACGAGCTCTCAGGAAGAGCGTGAGCGAATCAAAGAATTCTGGCTCGGGCTTGGCGAGGACGAGAGGAAGTCTCTTGTCAAAGTGGAGAAGGACGCCGTGCTGAAGAAGATGAAGGAGCAGCAGAAGCATACATGCAGTTGCACTGTGTGTGGCAGAAAGCGCACCGCCATTGAGGAGGAACTGGAGGGGCTATATGACGCCTACTACGAGGAGCTCGAACAATTCGCGAATCATCCGCATCAGCACGGAGACCCACCGATGATGGGTGCGTCGGTGACGGCTACAGCGCGAGCTAACCGGGGCTTGCCGCCTGCGAACTACTCGAGCCATCTTCCCTCCCGCGGACGAATAGTAGAACACGTCGGCGACGACGAGGACGAGGAAGGCGAAGAGGAGTATAGCGATGACGAGCTCGACGATGACGACTACAGCGATGAGGAGCCAGAGGAGATCCATCGAGACTATGCGACAGATTTCTTCAATTTTGGGAACAGCCTGACCGTTCAGGGTAGGGATAATTTCAACCCTTTATTTCCGCTTGCTCTACAAACAGGTGGTAATCTTGACGCTCTAGGTGGCATTTTGACGGTAGCCGACGATCTCCTCAAGAACGACGGCAAGAAGTTCATCGAGATGATGGAACAGCTGGCCGAGCGAAGGATGGCTCGAGAAGAGGACGCCAGGGAACAGGCATATCCTCGTGCGTACGGTCATAACGTCAACGGAGGTAATCTTCTGGGCCACAACCATCCCCCGCCACCTCCCGTCGATGACGATGATTACGACGAAGAGGACGAGGATGAGGAGGAGTACGACGAGTCTCAAGAGGACGAGTACGACGAAGAAGAGGTACGTTTAGGTGGTGCTGCGGAGATCACGGCTGTCTCTCGGAGGACACTGAATTTGGCTCATCTAATTTCTGATAGGATACCATGACGGAGGAGCAGCGCATGGAGGAAGGACGTCGAATGTTCCAGATATTCGCAGCGCGCATGTTCGAGCAGAGAGTGCTCACGGCATATCGAGAAAAGGTTGCCAAAGAGCGACAGCAGAAACTAATCGAGGAACTTGATGAGGAGACTCGCCAGGATTCTCAGCGTAAGGCGAAGAAGGCTAAGGAGGCACAGAAGCGCAAGGAAAAGGCGGCACAGAAGAAAGCTGCTGCCGCCGAGGAGAAAGCGCGGAAAGAAGCCGAGAAAGCAGCCGAAATCGAAGCACGTCTCCAGCAAGAGGCTGCAAGGGCCGAGGAGGCCAAGCTGAAAGCCGAGGAGAAACGCAAGAAGAAGGAGGCGCAGAAGAAGGCCGAGGAGGAAGAGCGCTTGCGTAAAGAGGCCGAGCGACAACGGCGTATTCATGAGCAAAAGGAACGCCAAGCTGAGCTCGAGCGCAAAGCTCGTGAAGCTAAGGAACGGGAGAAGAAGGCGAAAGACGATGCGAAACTCAAGGAGAAAGAAGCGAGGGAGCGTAAAGATCGTGAGGTCCGAGATCGAAAGGACAAGCCAGATTTGGACAAGCGGGACAAGGACGTTAAGACCAAATCCGAGAAAGACATCAGGGACAAACAAAAGCAAGAGGAGAAGGTCGCCCAAAAGGTGGCCGCTCTAAGCACGTCTGTTCCGATAACCCTACCTAAACGACCTTCTCAGCACCAGAGCAATCCCATACCTGCTCTCCCTCAACAACCACCAGTTGCTTTCCAGTCGCCGCAAATAGCGGTGGCAACACCAGCATTACCAAAGGCCCCTACGCCGATACGACCGCGTCAAGCATCACAGCAAGATGTCAGTGCAACAAGCTCACATCCCGGATCTCAAGCCGGATCCGGAACGAGTCAAAATGCGTCCCCGAGTGCGAATACGCCAGTTCACAGGAGTCCTGCTGGAGTGTCGAGCAGGAGCGGTCCACAGCCAACACAACCATCTCAGGCTATGTCACCATTGCAGTCAGTTGCGAAACTCCCATCGACATCGCAACCTGGCCCGTTCAACATGCCCCCGATGGGTATGGCATTTCCTCCAGGTCTACCACAGCAAATGCCACCAGGCTTTGGCAATCGCATGCATCATGATCCGATGTTTCCACCCATAGGCGCTGGTTTCAGGCCTGGCCCGAATATGATGCCTATGCCTCCAGGACTTAATGGTCCCATGAATGGTCGTGGATTCCCAATTCCTCATCCACCGCCGGGATTCCCGCAACCAACGCCAGACCAACTCTCTACCCCCTTCCCGGGCAGTCTACCCAAGGAATCTGTATTACCAACACATTCCAGGCAACCATCTGGAGGTTTTGATAGCGGCTCCATTCCATCGACCCAGCCGATATCTCGCCCAGCACCAATTGGAAGACCAGGATCTGTTGTGCATGGCCAGCGACCAACATCTGATTCCCCAGGTAGTGCAGCGCAGAGAGACTACGATGAAATGCAAAGTCATCACCTCGGCAGCAGTGCACTTTTGGATGATTCAGATGAGCCGTTTCTGCCATCTCTACCTGACTTTGGACAGAATGCTCGGCGTGGTACTGCGGCCCCTGGCCCGGCAGGCCGGCCTGGCTTCCCTCCAGCTCCATTTGGCGGTATAGATCCGGCATCACTGTTCCATACCTCTTCTGTATGGGGCCACCCGTCTCAACCTCCGCCAGGAATCAACCCCTTCGGAGCAGCACCGCCACCACCGCCAGGATTTGGCCCAGCAGCGTGGGCCAGCCCTACGCCTGCCTTCAGTGGACCGGTGGGAATGGGTAGATCGAGCCAGCCTCGTTCTGTAATCATCCGCCAGATGCTGTGTCGTGTCTGCCGGGAGTTATCGGAGAAGTCCAAGCCAAGCAGCTCAGTTACATCGACCCCTGAAGGCAGCAAGAAGTCCGAACCCGTGAACGAATTCATATCTCTTGATGCAATCAAGGCTCAGGTGGATATCCTCAATCCAAGCAACGAGAGGCCTGTTTCAGAGGAAGATCTCCTGGCTCTGTGCGAGACCGAGGGCAACATGCAGAACGGCGGTGGCAGCTTCGACGTGCGAGAGGATGGACCACGCAGATTTATCCGCTGGGTGCCGTCGATGAACAATGGCATCGGCCCGGATGGATTGCCTCACCTGCAGCGGGCGGTTGGAGCCCCTGGCGAGATTGGCAGCCCGATCATTGGATCCGGCTGGGGACGATGAGTAATTGCACTAGCTAAGGAATTGTCATCTTGAGGAATAGATCATGGCCCGGTGCGAGAAGCACAGGGTTTGCATGATGGTTGTTTTGGGGCGATATGCGTACAGCTTCCCCGCGGCCAAGGAAATCACTTGGTGTATGGATTATTGTACTGTAGTCAACAAGAACTACTTCTGATGTGCCTCCTTGACGTTTGGACCAACATAGTTGTGACTATCTTATTATACCACGACCTGAGGCTCAAGTTCCTGCCAAGTACAATGTAGAATACCATTTGTCAATGAAGCTCTCGCATACCATAATCGATCTGATCACACTTTTATAGGTTTGGTCTGTAGAATTTAATTCATTCCATACTAACTGACGTGGTTTTCCGTAGTCCATTCGCCTGGTCAACCAACTCCTGAAAGAGGCTCCAAAATGCTGCCATCCT